TCGAGTTCTTCCCTCCTCCGCTTGGAAAAGCGTCGAGGCAAGGGATTAAAGGGGAGGGAGGGAGGAGGCGAACGGTCGAAACCGGGACCGGATCGATCGATCGGGTCGATGTTGCGGGATAGCACGCTTGATTTCATTGCTCCTTTGATGTATCGGAGGCAGGAAACGCAGGAACGGCGCGTTCACGGTTCGTTGGACGGGGCCAACCACGCGCAAACTCGCCGGCTATCAATTTGCTATGTAATTTGCGCGCACCGTCCTGTCTTCCCTGTTTTACGAGCCTTATTTACGAGACCCCCCTCTCGAGTTTTTCCATCATCGATGGAAAAGAAATGGAAAAATCGCCTCGAATTGTTGTATCCGTTACTTCGATTAAATTTGTAATTGTTTTCATTTATTAATAAGCCGAATTAATTATTTGATCGTTTGCAACGATCGATTAATAAGATTCGATGTTTCGGAGGATGTTGGCCCGGCCAATATCGTATAATAGCCTTTGTTCGCAAGTTGCCCAAAGTACTTCTTCTCCCTCCCTTTCGAATTGGACGAAAGAAGCTCTCGTATCGAGCCGTGCGAAATTTCTGAAAGATCCGCGTTTTCTAAGCAACGATAACCGAACATTCACGGTGTTTTTCGAAAACGCGTATAAATCCCACGTTTTCTCGTTTAATCTCTCTCTGTCTCTCTGGATACATGTACGTATATCGAATCGAGGAAAAAAGTGCTGTCGTCCACGCAATCGGGAGCAAACTTATTATCCGTCGATCGAAATTGCCTCGTCGAGCTTTCTTTTTTCTCTCGAAAATTCTTCTAAATTGCTTCGTTTCGAGAGAATATGTGATAGATATATATCCGACCTTTTCTCGATCCACGAGTATCCTTCGAGTGCGGATCGAAATTCGAGAGATCGTGTTCCCGATTCCGCGCGAAGCACGCGATACCTTTCCTCCTCCCGGCAAATTTTCGTAGGGCGAAAGTTGAAGGTCTGTTCGAAGGCTCGGCCCTTGAGCCTTTCGCCTATGGCACGCTATGCGCCAGGTGGATAGATCCGGGCGGATCGATTCGATATCGAAGGGGGGATGGAATGGAAACGTGTTCTCGAGATAACCTTGGTCCGAGTCGTGATTTCGAGTCCGAAAATATCCGGGAGAAGGCACGGAATCGGGGTAAATTTGAATTCGTTTCGTTGAAAGGGAGAAGGAACGAGGATGAATCGAACGTCCTCTTTTCGCGCCTCCTCCCCCCGTGCTCGCACGAGAGCGCGATGAAAGGGGGAACCGTGGTGTCGGCCATTGAAGGCCGATTGCGCGTGGCTCGCGTGCAACGCCGCAGACATGCCCCTCGCGGATTTATCCGGGTTAACGGGAACGCGTTGCTTTATGGAAAATCGATTCTCTCGTTAAACCTTCAATCGCGCGCAACCCGACCGCGCTTCTTTCTGCCTCGAACTCGATCGCGATTAAACGCGCCGAGTTAAATTTCCCGCGCGTTAAAAATTCTCCAGGCTTGGCAACGATTCCCAAGAGATTCCTTTTTTGGAAACGTCGATTCTAATTCCCTCGATCGCATTATTCGAAAAATCCTTCGCTTCCCAAGGAATCCAACGCTCGAAATTTGTTTTTGGAAACGCGCTTTGTTAATTCTAATTTTCTCGCTGTCGAGAGCATTATTCGAAAAATCTTCCGCGCCGAGTTAAATTTCCCGCGCGTTAAAAATTCTCCAAGCCTGGCAACGATTTCCAAGAGATTCCTTTTTTGGAAACGTCGATTCTAATTCCCTCGATCGCATTATTCGAAAAATTCTCCCGCGTGTTAAATTAAAAATCCTCGAAGTCTATCAATTTCCAAGGAATCGAGCGTTTGAAATCCCTTTTTGAAACGCGCTTTGTTAATTCTAACTCTCTCGCCGTCGCATTATTCGAAAAATCCTCCGCTTCTCAATCTAACGTTCGAAATCCTTTTTTGGAAACGCGCTTTCGTCGATTCTAACTCCCTCGAACTCGATTAAACACGCCAAATTAAATTTTCCCCGCGTTAAATTAAAAATTCTCGAGGCCTGCTAACAATTTTCAAGAAATTTTTTGGAAACGTGCTTTGTTAATTCTAACTCTCTCGCCGTCGGTTGCATTATTCAAAAAATCCTCCGCTTTTTAAGAAATCGAACATTCGAAATTTCTTTTTGGAAACGCGTTTTATTAATTTTAACTCTTTCGCCTTATTTTAATTTTAACTCTTCGCATTATTCAAAAAATCCTTCACTTCCTAAACAATCGAGCGTTCGAAATTTCTTTTTGGAAACGCGCTTTATTAATTTTAACTCTCTCGCCGTTAATCGCATTATTCGAAAAATCCTCCGCTTCCCAAGGAATCCAACGTTCGAGATCCCTTTTTGGAAACGCGCTTTGTCGATTCTAATTCTCTCGATCGCGATTAAACGCGTCGAGTTAAATTTCCCGCGCGTTAAATTAAAAATCCTCGAAACCTGCCAACGATTCCCAAGGAATCGAACGTTCGAAATCCTTTTTGGAAACATGTGGTCGATTGTAACCCTCGATTTTAACATCGTCGGTCGCATTATTCGAAAAATCCTCCGCTTCCCAAGAAATCCAACGTTCGAAATTTCTTTTTGGAAACGCGCTTTGTCAATTCTAACTGCCTCGATCGCGATTAAACGCGTCACGTTAAATTTCCCGCACGTTAAATTAAAAATCCTCGAAACCTCCAAACGATCCCCAAGGAATCGAGCATTCGAAATTTCTTTTTGGAAACGCGCTTTGTCAATTCTAACTGCCTCGATCGCGATTAAACGCGTCACGTTAAATTTCCCGCACGTTAAATTAAAAATCCTCGAAACCTCCAAACGATCCCCAAGGAATCGAGCATTCGAAATTTCTTTTTGGAAACGCACTTTGTCGATTCTAATTCTCTCGCCATCGCATTATTCGAAAAATTCTTTGCTTCCCAAGGAATCGAGCGTTCGAAATTTCCTTTTGGAAACGCACTTTCGATTTTAACTCTCTCGCCATCGATCGCATCATTCGAAAAATCCTCCGCTTCCCAAGAAATCCAATGTTCGAAATTTCTTTTTGGAAATGTGCTTTATTAATTTTAACTTTCCCGCCATCGATCGCATTATTCGAAAAATTTTCCGTTTCCCAAAAAATCAAGCGTTCGAAATTTCCTTTTGGAAACGCACTTTCGATTTTAACTTTCTCGCCATCGGTCGCATCATTCGAAAAATCCTGCACTTCCAAAGGAATCGAGCGTTCGAAATCCCTTTTTGAAAACACCCTTTGCCGATTCCAACTCTCTCGCCGTCGATCGCATTATTCGAAAAATCTTCCGATTCCCAAGGAATCGAGCGTTCGAAATCCCTTTTTGAAAACACCCTTTGCCGATTCCAACTCTCTCGCCGTCGATCGCATTATTCGAAAAATCTTCCGATTCCCAAGAAATCGAGCGTTCAAGATCTCTTTTTGGAAACGCATTTTCGATTTTAATTCTGTCGCTATCACATCATTCGAAAAATCCTGCGCTTCCAAAGGAATCGAGCGTTCGAAATCCCTTTTTGAAAACACCCTTTGCCGATTCCAACTCT